TGCGGAATCCTCCCACTGCCCAACGGGACCAGGGGGATGGGTCCTGGGGTGAGGCTGGGAGGGCACTTGCAGCAGAGAAAGCGGGTGCACAGGGATCTGGGGTGGGGCCTCGGGGGGAGTCCTGGACGTCCTCAGGGAGAATCCCTGTGGCCTGGGGGATGAGCCGGTGGCCTGCGGGGCACGGGACAGCCTTCCTTTAACCAGCCTCCCCCACAGCTCATTTTCCAGGTGACCCCACTGAGTGGGCGCCAGTGGGGGGTGGTGCTGCAGATCTCTCTGCCCGTCATCCTGCTTGATGAGGCCCTCAAGTACCTGTCCCGGCACCACGGTGAGTGGGAGCCCTAGCCCCCCCATCCTGCCCGCCTCTGCCATCAGCCTCTGTGGCTGTGGGGGCATGAGGGGCTCTGGTGGCTGGGGCCCGCGGTGTCTGCAGGGGTAGGGACCCTGGGAGTCCGTGGGGGCGCTGCTCAGGGCCATGCTGCCTCTCACTCACCTTCCTGCCACCAGCCCTGCACGGCCAGGTTCGCTGGGTCCTCCCAGGTCCAGCCTCCGACTTCTCTGAGCGCGGCCTGTCGTTACCTAGGCCTCCTCGGGACAGTCGCCCAGACCTCAGTGGGCAGCTCTGACCCACCAGCCCCCAGACCACACCGGGTTGGCCTCTTTGGTGTCACCTTGTTGGGGAGAGGAGTGGCTTTCTGTTTCTGAGTTCACAGCTCTAGGTCTGCCTTAACCTGGGAATCGAGGGCAGGAGGGCAGGGGTGGGGGTGGGGGCAGCTGTAGAGGAGGGGCCTGGGGCATGGCGCCCAGCGGCCCGGCTTCTGCCTGAGGGCCTCAGAGTGGGTGGTTCTGCCCTGTGGCATTGCCTCACGGTCAGGCAGCTGGGAGAGGGACAGGGAGGAAGCAGAGGCGAGAAATTCCTGGTTCCAGGGACTTGGAGCCAAGGAGGTAGCGCCATGGCCAGGCTGCTGGGAGCCAGGGTTCGACCCGCAGTGGCAGTGGCAAAGCCGGCTGACAGCTGGGTCCCTGAGGCC